ATGTTAGCAAGAGAATAAAACGAGAGAGAGAAAGCAAAGATGTTGCAAGAGAATCCGAGAACCCTTTTCGAAAAGAAAAAAAAAAAGAGAGAGAGAGCAAGAAGGAAATATATCAGAAACCGGCCGTCAACAAATACGAAAGCCGTCCTCGAATCGCCTCCACAAGCGAGCCGGGACGAGGAGCAGGTTCGCCGCCTCGGCTCTCGACTCCTCGCGGCCACGTCCCTCTCGCCTCCAACGACCGCCGCGAAGGGAGTGTATGGCCAGTCAGTGGCCCTCCGCCGCCGCCGCTGATTGGTCGGCTCTCCGAGGGCCACTCCTTGCACCTCGCGGAATGGAAGGGGAGAGGGATAGGAGAGGGAAGGGGAGGGAGGGTGAGGGGAGGAGAGGGTGAGGGAAGGGAGAAGGGAGGAAGGGGGAAGGGGGAAGGGTGAGGGAGGGAGGGAAGGAGAGGGTGAGGATAGGAGGGGGGGAAGGGAAGGGAGAAGGAAGAGGGTGAGGGGAAGGGGGAGGGGAGGGAGAAGGAAGGGAAGGAAAAGGGAGAGGGGAAGGAAGAGGGTGAGGAGAAGTGAAGAAAAAAGGAGAGGAAGAGGGAAAGGAAAAGGGATGAGGGGAAGGGAAGAAGGGAAAGGATGATGAGAGAGAGAGAGAGGAAGGATAGAGGAGAGAGGGGAAGAAGGAAGGGAGAGAGAAAGAGAGGAGGAGAAGGGAGAGAGGGAAAGAAGTAAGAAGTGGAGATAAGGGATGAGGAGAGGGAGGAAAAGGGAAGAGGAAGAGAAAAGAAAAAGGGTTGGGAAAGAGAAGAGAGAGGGAGAAAGGGTAAAGAGGAGTAAGGGAGAAAAGAAGGAACATAAAGAGTGGAAATGAGGATGAAGGAAAAAGAAAAGACGGGAAAAGGAGAGAAAATGAAATAGAAGGAAGGAAGGTGAGACAGACAGACAGAGAGACAAACAAACAGACAGACAGAAGACAGACAGAGAGACAAACAAACAGACGGTGGTGGGTAGAAGGAAGTGGATATTTATTCATTTCATAAATAGATTAAAAAAGTCTTGTGAACAGACAGACAGACATACGGACAGAGAGACAAACAGACAGACAGACAGACAGAGAGAGAGAGAGAGAGGGAGAGAGAGAGACAAACAAAAAAGACAGACAGACAGAGAGAGAGAGAGACAAACAGACAGACAGACAGACAGAGAGAGAGAGACAAACAAACAGACAGACAGAACAGACAGACAACCACATACACAACAAATAACACGACAGAAAACAAATAAAAAAACGACATATTCTCTCGAATAACAACGAAATCAAACTGACAAGTTCACGTTACGAAAAAAAAAAGAAAAAAAAAATCTTTTCTCCGCGTCTCTCTCGTTCAACTTTTTTTCGTAATTGTTCTGACCCAGACAGAACATGTCAGTAAAAAAAAAAAAAAAAAAAAAAAAAAAAAAAAAAAAAAAAAAAGATAAAAAAAAAGTCAGAAAAAAATAGATAAATAGAAAAATATAAAAAATAAAAAAGTCGTGAACTTTGAGATATTGCTGTTATATCGTTCGATTATCTTTATATACCTTTATCACTCTTAAAAGTATTGTAATTTTAATATTATTAGGTATATGTATACTCCAGTCGATAGATAGACGAATAGACAGACGGTGAATGGAGGAAGGACAGACAGACAGACAGATAGATAGATAGATAGATAGATAGATAGATAGATAGATAGATAGATAGATAGACAGACAGTAGATAGACACAGACATATAGATAGACAGACAGACAGATATGCAGACAGACTGACTGACTGACAGACGGACAGACAGATAGGCACACACACACACAACACACAATCACACAATCACACAATCAACACACACACACACACACACACACACACACACACACACACACACACACACACACACACACACACACACAACACAATCACACACACACACACACACACACACACACACACACACACACACATCACACACACACACACACCACACGACACAATCACACAATCACACACACACACCACACACACACACACACACACACACACACACACACACACACACACACCACTCACTACACACACACACACACCACACACGCCATCACTAAATCTGCCAATAGTTGCATCACCAAAAATCACCACCACAACCGTTCCCAGCTCTAAGCACACCATACGACATCACCAACACCCATCATCATCACCGCCGCCATTTCCGTCATTCGTAATCACCATTTTCAACACCATCATCACCAACATCACTATAACATGCATGTCACCCCTCCTCGCCCTCACCCTAACACTCCTCTTCACCCTCCCCCGAACACCACCACCCCCTCTCCATCCCCTCACCCTCACCCCAGCCCCCCTCCCCAACACTCCCCACCCCTCACCCTTCCCCCAACACCCCCCTCCCCCTCCCTCAGCATCACCAAACCGGCATCACGCAACAGCAGCACATCTCCCCCTCCTCCCTCCCCACCCTCCCCACCCTCCTCCCCTCACCCATCACTCCACACCCTCCTCCCCACCCACCCACCCAGCAAACGGCGTGCTATCAGCTTTAGGCGGGCGGGCGATGGGGGACGCCGCCCCCTCTCCCCACCCCACCCCCACCCCCTCTCTCCTCTCTCAGAACAAGGGTATTCGCAGATGTTTCCCCTCTCGGCGTCCCCTCTCAGCCGGTCGGGGCGAGTCATTTAAGGGAGACACTCGCTCGCTCATTAAGGGGGCGGCGTCTCGAGGTGTTGATGGTGGTGGGTGGGGGTGGGGGTGGGGGGAGGTGGGGGGGGGATGGTGAGGGGTGTTGTTGGGGGTGAGGGCGGTGGGGGGATGGTGAAGGGGTGAGGGGCGTTTCGAGGTGTTGCTGTTGTTGGGGGTGTTGAGGGGGGTGGGGTGAGGGGGGCGTTTTCGAGGTGTTGCTGTTGCTTGTTGGGGGGGGGGGGTGAGGGGGTCTCGGAGGTGTTGCCGTTGCTGTTGGGGGGGGGGGGAGGGGGCGATTCAAGGTGTTGCTGTTGCTGTTGGGGGGGGGGGGGGGCGGGTGTTGCTGTTGGGGGTGTGGGGTCGGTGGGCGGGTGGGTGATAGTCTTGATTGTGTTGTTGGGGGATGGTGGGGGTGGCGTCTTGAGGTGTTGCTGTTAGGGGGGGGGGGGGGGTAGGCGGGTAGGTGGATTGGTGGATGTGAGTGTGGGTGGTGTGGGCGTCTCGAGGTGTTTGTGGGTGCGGGTGTGGGGGGCGTCTCGAGGTGTTGCTGTTAGGGTGGTGGGTGGTGGGCGGGTGGTGGGATGGTTGGATGGGTGGGTGGGTGGGTGGGCGTCTCGAGGTGTTGCTGTTGCTGTTAGGGGTGGTGGTAGGTGGATGGTGGATGGTGGTGGTGGGTGGGCGTCTCGAGGTGTTGCTGTTGAGGGGGGTGGGGATGGATGGTGGGTGGGTGGGGGGTGTTGTTGTCTGTGTATAGGGAAGTAACAGGGGCGTGGGCGGATATTTTGTTGTTGTTGATGTGGTGTTGGTTGTTGTTGTTCTTGTTGTAGAAGGAAGGGGACAGGGACGTGTTTTTTAAAATCTATTTTATATTTATTTATTCATTTATTTATCTATTCATTCATTATATATTTTTCTATTTTATTTAATCAATTATTTATCTATTTATTTTCATTTATCTTTTTCTATTTTTAGTTTATTTTATATATATACATTTTGGAGGCGAAAGACGCTTTTTTTTCTTTCTTTTTTGTATTATCATTATTTCTTTATTTTATTTATCTATTCATTTTGGAGGCGGAAGACGCTTTTATTTCTTTTTCTTTTTCTTTTCTTTTATTATTATATTTTCTTTATTTTGTTTATTTAATTTTGGAGGCGGAAGACGCTTTTATTTCTTTTTTTCTTTCTTTTTCTTTATTATTATTATTTCTTTATTTGTTTATTTAATTTTGGAGGCGGAAGACGCTTTTATTTCTTCTTTTTTTCTTTTCTTTTATTATTATTATTTCTTTATTTTGTTTATTTAATTTTGGAGGCGGAAGACGCTTTATTTCTTTTTTTTCTTTTCTTTTCTTTATATTATTATTTCTTTATTTTGTTTATTAATTTTGGAGGCGGAAGACGCTTTTATTTCTTCTTTTTTTCTTTTTTTTATTATTATTATTTCTTTATTTTGTATTTAATTTTTGGAGGCGGAAGACGCTTTTATTTCTTTCTTTTTTTCTTTTCTTTATTATTATTATTTCTTTATTTTGTTTATTTAATTTTGGAGGCGGAAGACGCTTTTATTTCTTCTTTTTTTCTTTTTCTTTATTATTATTATTTCTTTATTTTGTTTATTTAATTTGAGGCGGAAGACGCTTTTATTTCTTTTTTTCTTTTCTTTTCTTTTATTATTATTATTTCTTTATTTTTGTTTATTTAATTTTGGAGGCGGAAGACGCTTTTATTTCTTTTTTTTTTTCATTTTTCTTTTTTTATTATTATTATTTCTTTATTTTGTTTATTTAATTTTGGAGGCGGAAGACGCTTTATTTTCTTTTTTTTCTTTTCTTTTCTTTATTATTATTATTTTACTTTATTTTGTTTATTTATTTTGGAGGCGGAAGACGCTTTTTCTGCTTTTTTTTCTTTTTTTTATTATTATATTTCTTTTTTTTGTTTTTTAATTTTGGAGGCGGAAGACGCTTTTATTTCTTCTTCATTATTTCTTTATTTTTTATCTATTCATTTTGGAGGCGGGACGCTTTTTTCTTTTCTTTTCTTTTCTTTTTCTTTTTCTTTTTCTTTTTCTTTTTTTTTGTTTCTTTTTTTGTTTGAAAGGGGAGGAGTTTCTTTTTATTTATTTATTCATTTTAGAGTCGGGACGGTTTTTTTTTTTTTTTTTTCTTTTTTTCTTTTTTTTTTTCTTTTTTTTTTCTTTTTTTATTTTTATTTAGAAAGGGGAGGAGCTTGTTGATTTTAATGGCACTGCTTGAGGGCCGATTTTAAGAGCAGTCGATCACTCACACTCACACCTGTCCTCATCAACCCACCTGCCCTCATCACCTGCCTCACCACCTGCCCACCACCTGTCCTCACCACCTGCCCTCACCACCTGTCCTCATCAACCCACCTGCCCTCACCACCTGTCCTCACCACCTGCCCTCACCACCTGTCCTCATCAACCCACCTGCCCTC